TTTTGTGCTCAATTGTGGTCGTAAGTCGAAGACTGCCTGTAATAGCCCCCCCCCCCCACCTTCTAATCCAGAGAGTCCTCAGCCAATAGTCAGGTCTCTCTAGAAATTTCTTTTTAAGAAGCAACCAAATCAGCAAAGCGAGAGATTTCTAGTACTCACCTCCGGTGGGAGAAGATGTCTATAGCGGCCGATACCATGGGTAGGCATAGATCTGTAGTGTCTTTGAAAATTCGGCCTTAGGCTGCCTTTAAAAGAGGAAACAAACAGTCAAAAAAAAAAATACAGAAAACTTTGAAGGTCTAGATCAGATCTGAGTATTTTAAAACCCCTGGGTCCATATCCAGCCCTTTGGCTCTTCAGCTTGTGCGAGGTGAATTGGAAACTGGAAATCAAATATAAAAAGGCAATATGTTATACTTGGAATACAGCTGCATTGCTTTTATTTTGAAAGGGGCTATTTTTTAAAAAATTACATAGGTAAGTGACTATGTTCTTTCATAGCTTAGGGAAGGGGGGAAAAGTGTAGGAAAGGAATAGAATAATAGAATAGATAGAATTCTTTATTGGCTAAGTGTGGTTGGACACACAAGGAATTTGTCTTTGGTGCAAATGCTCGCAGTGCACATAAAAGAAAAGATACTTTCATCAAGAGTCCAGAATCATCAGGTACAACACTTAATAATAGTCCTAGGGTACAATAAGCAATCAAATCATACTAGGAAGCAGTCAATATAAATAGTAAGGATACAAGCGACAAAGTTACAGTCATACAGTCACAAGTGGGAGGGGATGAGTGATAAGGAGGGATGAGAAGATGAATAGTAATTGTAGGGCAGACTTTGTAAATAGTTGTTGAGGGAATTATCAATTATTATTAGAAAAAAATCATTGACTTCCGATTTGTTTTGGAGCACTAGAACAAGGTAATGGCATAAAACCTCAACTTTTTTACTTTTAGAATAGAATAGCAGAGTTGGAAGGGACCTCGGGGGTCTTCTAGTCCAGCCCCCTTCTCAGGCAGGAAACCCTCTACCATTTCAGACAAATGGTTATCCAATCTCTTCTTAGAAACTTCCAGTGTTGGAGCATTTACAAGTTGTGGGGGCAAGTTGTTCCACTGATTAATTGTTCATAATGTCAGGAAATTTCTCCTTAGTTCTAGGCTGCTTCTATCCTGGATTAGTTTCCATCCGTTGCTTCTCCTGCCTCTTCAGGGGCTTTGGAGAATAGCTTGATTCCCTCTTCTTTGGGGCAGCCCCTCAAATTTTGGAAGGCTGCTATCATGTCTCCTCTAGTCCTTCTTTTTATCAAACTAGACATCCCCAATTCCAGCAACCATTCTTTATATGTTTTAGCCTCCAGCCCCCTTTGTTGCTCTTCTCAGCACTCTTTCTAGAGTCTCCACATTTTTTTTTACACCGTGGTGACAAAAACTGGATGCAGAATTCCAAGTGTGGCCTTACAAAGGCATTATATTATTTTATATAATATATACTAGCTATAACAACAAATGTGTCTAATCAGTAAGACCCAAATTCAAAGTTTCATTTTTTTCCCCACCTCAAGCACAAACTTCAGAAGCCGTTTCCAAGTAGAATCAAAAGTAATTGTGTATTTTTTTTTTCCTTTAATAAAAACAGTCAATTTCACCATCTCCATCAGCTTCTGCAGCCATTTGTCCATTGTAGGAATCGGGGCGTCCTTCCATTTTTATGCATAAAGTAATCTTGCCGCCATCAATATATATATATAACTTCACAGTTCCAATTCCCCCCCACCCCAAATTCTTTTCCATTAAACCCAAAAGAAATGTCTCTGGTTTTATCTTTATATTAATTTAAGAATCTTCTGTATTAAGATGTGAATCCTACTCAAGATATAAAGGCATCATACTCCAATCAGTAACTACAGGAGAAATTTTGTTTAATGAGAAAAGATAAAACATAATTGAAACAGGACAGACAAAAAATATAAATACTATGATTTGAATTGAGATAATCAAAATAAAATTGAGAAAATTAAAAGAGGGGAGAAGCTATGCAGAAAATGTAAAATAGTAGTAAGATATGGAATAGAATATAAAAATGAGCATGAACCTGAATTTGTGTCTGTACGAAGAAATGTAACCCGGGATTATGCTGCTTTCAAAAAAGATGTTTTATTTGTATTTTTTTTCTCTTTGTGAAAACTCAAATAAAATTTACAAAAAAAAAAAGATGTGAATCCTACTCCAATATTTCTTTGTTTTGTCATTTGTCTGCCATATGTGATTAAAATGTCCCTTCTTTAGTTTTACACTTCCTACATTCATTTGAGATATCTTTACACATTCTTGACAAATTATCCAGTGTTAGATGCCAACAATACATTATCTTATAAAAATTTCTTTTAAATAATAATTTAGTGTAAATTCTAGACCTTTCGCCTAAGGCAGGTGTGATGACCCAAAGGGGCGTGGCAAAGGCAACACAAGTCAGATAAGCAATAAGAATCCCTTTATTATCTCCAACTTTGCCCCCAATGTTTTCTTCTGGCTGGAGAAAAACTCTCCCAGGAACAGCCTTTTACTGCAGAAAATTAAGCCTAAAACATGAGCAACACAAACTATAACTTAAAGTCTAAACAGGCAAAACTGAAGTAATTAGTTTGGCAGGGCAGGAGGAAGAATTTCAGACTTGAAGGCATGGCAAAACTCACACGGTTGGGAAGATGCCAGGAACACAGATAAGCCACGACAACACAGGATAAACTCACGTTTGCTCCCAGCAGCCTGCCGCATGCAGCCTGGTTTTCTTATCAACTTTCTTCCCAGGTGTGGCTAATGAAGGGAATCAGGGCCCTTTCCTCCCCCGTAAGCCACACAACCCACATTCTCTTCTCCATTCCTTCCTGTGTGCCCTAGGATGAAGAGGGGGTGGGCCTGGGTCTTCCTCTGAACTCCCTCTCCCTTGTTCTACCTCTGACCTGCTCTGCCCAGGCGGACTTTGCCCTTCCCCAGTTTCCTCCACAGCCAAGAGCTACACTCCAGCTCCTTGTTAGCTGTCTGGCTTTCTCCTTGGATTCAGACTCTGACAGGGGCATGACAGGGAGGGGTGTCAAACTTGAGGCCTGCGGGCTGGATGCATCACGTACTGCCTCCCCCCCACCCCCCGGTTTAGCGAAGGGGAAAAAAGTCCCAATATGTCACGTGACAATGCTGTGACGACGGGAGTTTGACACCTCTGGTTTAAGGGAAGAGACCAGGGAAGTCTGGTACATCTGAAATATTTTTATAATCGGGAAAGGACCACTCTCTGGCCAACTGTTTTTGCCAAAAAGGGGAGAATATAATATCCTCTCATTGTTGAATTTATTTGCTGCCCATCCCATAGCGAACAACTCTGGATAGCAAATTCATCACACCACAGCATAGCCCCAAAGATGGTTCTCTTTCTCAGATTATGACAAGTTGCTTAAAAAAACTTACCTATAGAACAGACTGGATTCCTTCTGGATGATTTGAACACAAGGCTAAAAAGCAAACAGAAAAAATCCTTATTAGGCTAGGATAGCACGTTCTTCCACGGGATAAAATTTTTCACAGGCCTCTTGAGGTTCTCCAATTAAAAGGTAATTAGAATGCAAAAGCTACTAGCCCAACTGGCAATTTTCCAAATCTATATAAAGAGTGCAAGTCATATAAAGCCAAAGAGAACAATCCTGTATTAATTTATTTGTCCTATCAAAATGTTTTCTGTCACACACTCCCCCATTTACAATGTTTACCATAAAGGTGAGCATCAGAATTCTTTCTATCCTTTTAGTGATATCTTCCATCAGGACGCAAAAGAAAATACAGATAGCTGTCAGTCAACTGGGGCCAGAATGTCTTGTTGTTAAGCAAGGCAGTTGTTTAATAAGTTGTGCCCAATTCTATGACTTTTGCCACTGTTGTTAAAGAAAGCACTGCAGATGTTAAGTGGATCCAGTTTCCACAATGAGTTTCCTTTTAGAAGCCACCTGGGAAGCTTGCAAATCACATGACTCCACGACAACCATGGCAAATAGATGCTGATTATTAATCTCCCAAATCTTAATGAAGTGACCATTATCTGTAATGTGCAGAACACTGAGTACCTCACCTGAAAAAAACAGATCCTTCTTTTCCTAGGGACAACACCTGCAGGAAGAAAGTTAAATCATCAGTTACTGAAATAAGAAAAATGTATCAAGCCCTTTTCCCAAATTACAAGATTACGCCTTCCTGACTTTCACAAATTGATTGTATAAGCCCAAAAAGCTGTTTGCAAGACACCGTGGTATGGCTGATGTCCTACTTACGTTTCTCTTTTGGCTTTTTGGGTAGGGGGTTGGACTAGATCAGCAGTCGCCAACTGGTGGGCTACAGACCACTGGTCCCAGAGAAAATTTTTGGGGGCCGCAGAGAAATCTCACCTGCAGAGCACCCCCCAAAGCAATTAATCCAGGCTACGCAGAAACACAAGGCTGCGCTGCCCACATGGCCCACGGGAACCTTCCCCGCCCATTCACTCCTTACCTGGCAAACTTGCTTTCTAAATTGCTATTTTTTTTTTCCAGTCCGTCAGCTATTCTGCTGTGCCAGGAGATTTAGATTAGCTAAGAAAGCAGGAAATTGTTGGATTTCTTGCTTTCTAGCTAGTCTTTAGATCTTTGGCTCTGCTTTTAAGCACAGACAAACCTCCCTTAGGACTGAAGTTTCTATTATTCAGAGCAGACTCACGGCAAGCACATTTTATGTGACAGACTGAGCTAGCCGATGGCAGATAGATAGATCACTGAATGATTCTGTGAGCAACTCAATCTGCCTGCTTTGCCTGATTTTGGGTAAAAGTTGCTCTTTTTTAAAATACAAAATTCAATATTTACATACAAGGGCAAAAGCAGAGAAATGTAGTTACTTCTTTATTTTTTTTTGTCCCCATTATAAAGTTTGGGTAAAATAAAAGTAGCACCTAAATGCAGGTAATTCACCAATTCTATCAGTGTCCCCCCC